GCAGAGCCAGCCAGTCTGTCCGTCTGTTCATTTCCCAACACACCGGCATCCCTGGTGAAAAAATCCAGACAATACTCCTCACCCGTGTCTTCCGCCGCTAGGCATGCCACTCTGAACGAAGCATACCTGTTCTGATCTTCCTCAGCATGCTTTCTGAGTCAGTTACAATCATGATGTGTGTGTGTGTGTGTCGTGTTCTCTAGTCAGCGGAAAGCCGCAGTGACCGTCTTCACCTCCATTCTTAAGTTGAATGTTGTGGTATCATATGCTAGGCTCTCCTGCACCAAACGTCGACCAATAACTTTTGCTAAGAAACCCCAAACACTTCTTTTGGCTCTTGACACTGAACCGTTTGTGTAAATGATCAGATCCTCTGAGTGAGTATTATCTTGAATTAATTGCTAAATTTCCACCTCTGTGGCACCTGCTGGCCAGTTCAGGTAGCACTTTGGCCCCCTCCTCTCCTCGCCTAATGTTCTCAAGGATGCAAACCTGTCTGATTGTGTCTTCTGCCTGAGCCATCCCTGACTTCCCAAATATCAGCAGCTGACCCTTAACTGCACCCAGTCTTCGTGCAAAGAGTAGTCTATGTCTGCAGCTACCCTAAGATATGACTTCGCCTGCAGCACCTTGTGCCTACCTGCAACCGTCGACAAACCAAGGATGTATCGCACACACAACACCGGGGTGTCTCTGGTGCAACCAAGAATGACCCGCATTGCTGCATTCTGTATGCGCTCTAGTTTGTCCATCTGGCTCTTTGAGACGGTAAGAATTCCCAGGCCATAATTAACCACTGACAGGATCAGGTGCTGATATAATGTGAAAAGAATTCTCTGCTCTATGTCAATTGAAGCCATAGTCTTAAGTGCACTAAGTCCTTTTTGGCATCTTATCACAACACTCTCCACATGGTCCTTAAATGACAGGCTCCTGTCAAATGTAATTCCCAGATACTTCAGTTTGCTCTCTCTGTTGACGTCTCTACCATCTATCATGAGACTTGGGACATTAGCTTTAACGATTCTGTTGTCCAGAGAACAATACAAAACAGATGCCTTTTCCGGGTAGACGACAGCCCTCATTGCTGTTACCACTCAGTCATTCTGTCTACTGTCACTTGTAGCTCCCGAGCTGTTTGTTCCCTCTCTTCCCCTGCCTATATGCAAGTATATCATCCGCAAAAGTCAGTATCTTTCCAACTCCTGGTGCTTCTAGGCTTGCAATCTTGCTCGTATACATGTTGAAGAGCACAGGCTAGATGGCGGGTCCCTGTGGTAGTCCTAGGGCCAAAGTGCATGGTTCAGAGGTCCATGAGCCCAATCGAAGACCTGACGTGAATACAGGACAGCTACAACCCACTTCACCATCCATGGACTGACCTCCTTCTCCTTCAGTGCAGTCATCAAGATGTATCATACTCTGTTATAAGCATCCTCGAGATGCAATCCTACCGCCATAGTTTCGTGTCTGTTCTGGAAACCTTCATAGACGTCAAAAGCAAAAGCGGCCACTTTTTCCCATGTGTCCTTTCCTGGCTTGTAGCTTCCCAGACCTCTTGGGAGAAGGCACTGGATAACAGTCGGGATGCGATGAGAGGCGTTAGAGCACGTTGAGACGACTGTAGAGATCAGCCATAGAAGAGATAGAGAGAACTCGCTTGACCGGCCTGCTGGAATATCATCAAAGGAATTATTCAGGGTACCTAGGAATGAGATCTTTGCAGAGACGTGAGCGGCTTTGGCACTAGGCAGGGCACATGATGATAATCACAATACTGTTCTTACCCTTCCTGTAACATTTACAAATACAGTGAGATAGTATTTTGGCTACGGGACACCAGTAGCACACATATATCTTCGTGTAGGGAGTCGGCAGTCTGAAACCCAAGTTAAAGGTGTCTCCTTCGTGCCAAAGAACTGCATGGCTGTTGGGTGAACAGTCGTTAACGAAGGCAATCAGGTCGTTGTTGGGGCGACGCTTGCTTGTGGATGTAATGTCCTAAATCCCTTTCCCAGCTAATAGTAGGGTACTGCTGGGGTGACAGTTTATTAACCCTCACATAATGCTTCAGGTCCAAATGAACACTAGGCACTGCCACTGTTTTGAGCCGGGGCAAAGTTTTTTTGCTTCTGCCAGACTGTGGCCGTTGCTTTTTTGCTCCATTTGTAGACTGGAAGTATATAGTTTCGTTACCCAGCTTCTGAGTTGAGTGCATGGCGTGACACTGTGAGCTGCGGATGTCATTTCGAATGTTTTTCGACTGACCAACGTGGTGGTGTGATTTGTAGATTCAGAAAATGGCGCGATGACCGGTTGTCGCAATATTGGTGGGCCATTATTTGATTAAAATTGATCGCGTGTGCAACTGCTGATCTTCTGGTGACTTCTGCTACCATCAATGATGAACTGCATTTCTAACGTCAGACTGTTTGTGTTAGCACTTCGGATGGCTACCTGTGACAATACGCTCGGTGACTCCAGAATGTCTTTCCTCAACCTACTTTTATTTGTATGTATTTTGAAGCATACAGACAAATAAGGATTTGGATACATCCTTAATCTAAGTAAGACGACCACATATAACATTTAATTCTCCGGGACTGTTGGTCATATCAAACACTAAGACTTTTTCCCAGATGTTAAGTGTTAAGGTACAGAGATAAGACTGACCAAGCAGACTTACTGACTGGAGATTTGCACACCATCTGTTGGTGTCAGATATTTTATCTCCTAGCCAGACTTTTAGGAGCAGCTAACTCCGGCTAATTGTGTTTAATTCCCCCTGAGGTTACCTAACTCGACGGCAGGTCCGACGGTCACTATTGACACAGTGAGCGGAAAGTGTTGGCAAAAGAATTGACAAAGTCGGATTTTATTGTGATGACAGGTGAAGTAGACTGGAGGTGTGACTTGTCTTATTTGCTCTGGTCAGATGAATTAACCAGGAGATCCTAGCGTGGGAATTTAAACAAGTGTTGTACAGCCCTGACTGACAGCGAATAAACTTACCCACAGGGGAGGAGCTGTGATATCCTTGACTGAGAATGATTTTAGGCGTAATGTAGGAGGAGCTTGATAAAAGTTATAAAGGGGTGAACTCTAGGTCTGGTAAATGAGACCATTCCAGCACATGCCATCTGTTGGGCTTAACCTAAGCTTGAGACAGAACTTTTGGCATCGTGATTTCATTTTTCCAGGTAAGATCGAAATTAGGTTCAAATCTATATTTTATGATAGAGATCTAACTGTCTTTTTGCTCAAGTGTGTGTCTTCATTACTTTGTAGTACTCCTAGGCGGACATTTCTTCATTCTTGTAGGGCACTGTCACATTGCTTTATTTCCTATTTGATAGTGTCATGAATGTTTTTCGTGTACATGGGTTTCAATGTTGTAAAACCTAAATGTTGTTGTTGCCATTGCAATTTAATGAACTATCATGTTTTTGAAATCACAAGCGTGAAGATAACTTTGGCAATCTTTTCACGTGTGGTTAATGTGAATCTGTATTACATACAGCTAACACACTGAAATGTGTTTAACTCTCGGGAGGCTAATGCGGAGATTGATTCCCGAGAGTAAATCCACGAGATTTGGTATTTGATTCGCCTCAGAAATATTGTTAGCTTTCTGGGCGCGTCGATTGTTCCAAGCATAGATTCCAGAACTGGTTCTGTCTGACTGATTGTCATTTTGAGTCTGTACGAGAGATGGCACCTGACGTAGAAGACTTGACTATCATTACAGGACATGTAGAGGAAGGCAGAAGATGTAACAGTTGGAATGTGAGACATAAGCCCTTCCAAATTGGACAGGAGTGAATGTGAGCATGAGGGAGAGATGAAATGTTTTATTTAAATAAACATGCTTGATGTTAGTATAATATACATGCTTAGTGTACATCTAGAGCAGATACTACAAATATGCGCTTGTTTCTTCATTCTCCAGTTCCCACATTGGGCAGGGACTAGTAGGCATCCATTATTTGCCGACCGTCGAGTGTAACGACCTGCAGAAAGCAGTGAGGACGACAAACTGGGAAAAGATAGGCAGGGTCTCAAGCCGAGAACTGTCCAAAGGTTGTTACTTTCCAATACCTTTATGATTTCATCATCCACATCATTCCAACTCTACTAGCCTAAACAAGTTCATTTTAATTTCGATTTATTCAAATAAATCATGGTTGATTTTGTTAAACCATAGTTGAGTAAATTGTGTACTTAGGTTCAAGTGTCTTTGTGCATATTAGTTTACTTCAGCTAACAAATATTTAAATCACTTGATGGGGGCTTTTAAGTAATGCCAGGAGAGGAGAATAGTCGCAGGGGTTAACTGTGTATCGAGATAATATCACAGTGGGTGTATCCTGATATCTATCTATCCCTTCTCCTACTCCTGTGGATACAAGTACAGCAACTTTCATTTCATGGAACGAGCCACTCGCTGTTTTCTTGGCTATCCAGGACTGTCTAGGATCAACATAGCTTAGATAATAGTCCAGTTTCTCACGTGGGTGGGCATTGTTAAGGTTCAAACCCACACCCTCACTATATCAGTGTATTTACCCACGTGGGCGCGCGACACTACCATATGCTTTTAATGCGAGTGTATGCTAGATTTGCTGAGACAGCAGTTTGTCAGTCTTTCCACAAGGGACTGTGATAAACATTCTGTGTGTTTTTCGTTGGCACAGGAGCGGAGCAAAGATGGGGTGACCCGTTTGCTATGAAGCTGAAATTAAAATTACCAGATTACCAGATTACCAGATTAAAAAATATTTTGAACATGTTTGTCTGACTTTCAAAACGGAAAATTTAGAGTTTTTTGGTGGCGTTTTATAACGATCTTAATATATTAACAAAAGATTCCAAATAATTTTCGACATGAATGTCATTTATTGAGAAGTCAGCGGAACTAAACACGGAGCTCTTCTAAAACTGATAACTTCTCCAATGTTGATAAGACACGTCTGCAGTAGTCTGGTCTGGAGACCCCGAGCTCAGGGTCCTAGGTACTTCCCGGACAGCAGCGTCTTGCCCACAACTGTGTGTCTGATAAAGAACAGGAAAGGATGGTCTGCGATGAAACTGTAATCAGGCGGCACCATGCCAAAGGGGTGACCCAGCTGTATGGGGCTGGCGGCTGATGATGGCGACACGCCTTCCTCGTTGACCTCGATGGCTGCGGCGTGCACAATGTCGGAGAGATACAACTTGTCTAAGGGTGGAGACAGAATGGGGCTCAGTCTGGGACTGTCCTGACCACAGTGACATATGACCTGTGTGTGTGTGTGTGTCTGTGTGTGTGTGTCTGTGTGTGTGTGTGTCTGTGTGTATGTGTCTGTGTGTGTGTGTATGTGTCTGTGTGTGTTTGTGTATGTGTCTGTGTGTATATGTGTCTGTGTGTGTGTATATGTGTCTGTGTGTGTATATGTGTTTGTGTGTGTATATGTGTCTGTGTGTGTATGTGTCTGTGTGTGTATGTGTCTGTGTGTGAGTGTATATGTGTCTCTGTGTGTATGTGTCTGTGTGTGTATGTGTCTGTGTGTGTGTGTATGTGTCTGTGTTTGTATGTGTCTGTGTGTGTATGTGTCTGTGTGTGTATGTGTCTGTGTGTGTATATGTGTCTGTGTGTGTATGTGTCTGTGTGTGTGTATGTGTCTGTGTGTGTATATGTGTCTGTGTGTGTATGTGTCTGTGTGTGTATATGTGTTTGTGTGTGTGTATATGTGTCTGTGTGTGTATGTGTCGGTGTGTGTATGTGTCTGTGTGTGTATGTGTCTGTGTGTGTGTGTGTGTGTGTGTGTGTGTGTGTGACAGTAGTGATATATATATGTGTCTGACAACAGGGACATGTGACATGTATAAGTGTCTAACAACAGTGACATGTGACATATATATGTGCCTGACAACAGAGACATGTGACATGTATATGTGTCTGACAACAGAGACATGTGACATGTATATGTGTCTGACAACAATGACATGTGACATGTATATGTGTCTGACAACAGAGACATGTGACATGTATATGTGCCTGACAACAGAGACATGTGACATGTATATGTGCCTGACAACAGAGACATGTGACATGTATATGTGTCTGACAACAGAGACATGTGACATGTATAAGTGTCTGACAACAATGACATGTGACATGTATATGTGTCTGACAACAGTGACATGTGACATGTATAAGTGTCTGACAACAGAGACATGTGACATGTATATGTGACAGACAACAGTGATATGTGACATGTATATGTGTCTGACAACAGTGACATGTGACATGTATAAGTGTCTGACAACAGTGACATGTGACATGTATAAGTGTCTGACAACAGAGACATGTGACATGTATATGTGACAGACAACAGTGATATGTGACATGTATATGTGTCTGACAACAGTGACATGTGACATGTATAAGTGTCTGACAACAGTGACATGTGACATGTATAAGTGTCTGACAACAGTGACATGTGACATGTATATGTGTCTGACAACAGTAACATGTGACATGTATAAGTGTCTGACAACAGAGACCTCTAACGTGTAGATATGTCTGACAATATTGACCTATGTCACACATACTCACAAACTCACTCACTATAAAGACACATACACACACATACACCCCTACACACATCATACCCTCTCCACCCTACCGTGTGATATGAACTCGCTCAAATGTGTCCTCAGACCTGTCTGCATTCATAAAAACACTCACACGTGGTACAATCAAACACACACGTGGCACAGTCAAACACACACGTGGTACAATCAAACACACACGTGGCACAATCAAACACACACATGGTACAATCAAACACACACGTGGTAAAATCAAGCACACACGTGATGCAATCAAACACACACGTGGTGCAATATAACAAACACGTGGTGCAATCAAACACACACGTGGTACAGTCAAACACACACGTGGTACAATCAAACACACACGTGGCACAATCAAACACACACTTGGTGCAATCAAACACACACGTGGTGCAATATAACAAACACGTGGTGCAATCAAACACACACGTGGTACAGTCAAACACACACGTGGTACAGTCAAACACACACGCATATGCACACAAACACACAGACACACTCATATGATGAAACACCAGTGTACCTGTATATTTACACAGTGGCACATATCAGTGCAAACACACCACTTACGTAAAACCGCGCGCGCGCACACACGCACAGGCCGGGATACAGCCTTTAATTGGGTGGTATCAGAGAGGCTATTGAATTTAGCCTAGGTCAGGTCGGCACGCAATCTCTTTCTTCGTCTGTCTGTCTGTCTGTCTGTCTGTCTGTCTGTCTGTCTGTCTGTCTGTCTGTCTGTCTGTCTGTCTGTCTGTCTGTCTGTCTGTCTGTCTGTCTGTCTGTCTGTCTGTCTGTCTGTCTGTCTGTCTGTCTGTCTGTCTGTCTGTCTGTCTGTCTGTCTGTCTGTCTGTCTGTCTGTCTGTCTGTCTGTCTGTCTGTCTGTCTGTCTGTCTGTCTGTCTGTCTGTCTGTCTGTCTAGTCTGTCTGTCTGTGTGATCTCTTTCTCCGTCTGTTTCTCTCTGTCTCTGTCTCTCTCTCTCTCTGATCGCTGTCTCTGTCTGTCTGTCTGTCTGTCTGTCTGTCTGTCTGTCTGTCTGTCTGTCTGTCTGTCTGTCTGTCTGTCTGTCTGTCTGTCTGTCTGTCTGTCTGTCTGTCTGTCTGTCTGTCTGTCTGTCTGTCTGTCTGTCTGTCTGTCTCTCTCTCTCTCTCTCTCTCTCTCTCTCTCTCTCTCTCTCTCTCTCTCTCTCTCTCTCTCTCTCTCTCTCTCTCTCTTTCTCTTTCTCTGACGTGTACCAACCGTTCATCAAGGTAGCATTTGAGAGTTTGCTGAAGTCCGCCAGGTTGGGGTCGAATGCCTGAACCATGCCTAACGACTGCAGACCTTCCCTCATGTAGAAAGTGGTATTGATTCTAAATCTGGGGATTCCCAGACGGACCAGCGTCGGCTCCAAGCCCCCAAAGATGGTGTCCAGAACGTCGTTCTCTTTCAGTATTGCTTGTTCTGTGGAGCAGGTTCAGAGGCAGGCGGGCAGACCACTTAGCTAATGCGAAAGGAGCCAGTCAATTGTTTAAAATATATTTAACATTACGTAACATAAGATAACCCGTAGGCGTCGTGGAGGTGTATCGATGAAAGCCCTAACACACAAAACCGGCCATCTTTCTCTGTCTTTTACTTCTGTCTTTCGCCAATCTGTATGTGTCAGGTGTTTGTGCATGGAGGTCCAACAGGCCGTCTCTACATGGTCGGACAAGTCCAACAGCAGGTGTCTATTGGTTCCAGTGATTGCAGACAACTGGGGTCCAGTTTCTAAGACGTCTCCACGTAGTTCTGAATTTGACTGGCTCGTAACCTGTCCACATCCTTGTAGGTGGCCAGCAGACTGGCTCGTAACTTGTCCACATCCTTGTAGGTGGCCAGCAGACTGGCTCGTAACTTGTCCACATCCTTATAGGTGGCCAGCAGACTGGCTCGTAACTTGTCCACATCCTTGTAGGTGGCCAGCAGACTGGCTCGTAACTTGTCCACATCCTTGTAGGTGGCCAGCAGACTGGCTCGTAACTTGACCACATCCTTGTAGGTGGCCAGCAGACTGGCTCGTAACTTGTCCACATCCTTGTAGGTGGCCAGCAGACTGGCTCGTAACTTGTCCACATCCTTGTAGGTGGCCACCAGACTGGCTTGGAACTTGTCCACATCCTTGTAGGTGGCCACCAGACTGGCTTGGAACTTGTCCACATCCTTGTAGGTGGCCAGCAGACTGGCTTGGAACTTGTCCACATCCTTGTAGGTGGTCAGCAGACTGGCTGGTAACTTGTCCACATCCTTGTAGGTGGCCACCAGAATGGCTTGGAACTTGTCCACATCCTTGTATGTGGCCAGCAGACTGGCTTGGAACTTGTCCACATCCTTGTAGGTGGTCAGCAGACTGGCTGGTAACTTGTCCACATCCTTGTAGGTGGCCACCAGAATGGCTTGGAACTTGTCCACATACCTGTAGGTGGCCAGCAGACTGGCTGGTAATTTGTCCACATCCTTGTAGGTGGCCACCAGACTGGCTGGTAACTTGTCCACATCCTTGTAGGTGGCCACCAGACTGGCTCGTAACTTGTCCACATCCTTGTAGGTGGCCAGCAGACTGGCTCGTAACTTGTCCACATCCTTGTAGGTGGCCACCAGAATGGCTTGGAACTTGTCCACATCCTTGTATGTGGCCAGCAGACTGGCTTGGAACTTGTCCACATCCTTGTAGGTGGTCAGCAGACTGGCTGGTAACTTGTCCACATCCTTATAGGTGGCCACCAGACTGGCTGGTAACTTGTCCACATCCTTGTAGGTGGCCAGCAGACTGGCTCGTAACTTGTCCACATCCTTGTAGGTGGCCAGCAGACTGGCTCGTAACTTGTCCACATCCTTGTAGGTGGTCAGCAGACTGGCTGGTAATTTGTCCACATCCTTGTAGGTGGCCAGCAGACTGACTCGTAACTTGTCCACATCCTTGTAGGTGGCCAGCAGACTGGCTTGTAACTTGTCCACATCCTTGTAGGTGGCCACCAGACTGGCTCGTAACTTGTCCACATCCTTGTAGGTGGTCAGCAGACTGGCTGGTAATTTGTCCACATCTGTGTAGGTGGCCAGCAGACTGACTCGTAACTTGTCCACATCCTTGTAGGTGGTCAGCAGACTGGCTGGTAATTTGTCCACATCCGTGTAGGTGGCCAGCGGACTGACTCGTAACTTGTCCACATCCTTGTAGGTGGTCAGCAGACTGGCTGGTAACTTGTCCACATCCTTGTAGGTGGCCACCAGACTGGCTTGGAACTTTTCCACATCCTTGTAGGTGGCCACCAGACTGGCTTGGAACTTGTCCACATACCTGTAGGTGGCCAGCAGACTGGCTCGTAACTTGTCCATATCCTTGTAGGTGGCCAGCAGACTGGCTCGTAACTTGTCCACATCCTTGTAGGTGGCCACCAGACTGGCTTGGAACTTGTCCACATATTTGTAGGTGGCCACCAGACTGGCTCGTAACTTGTCCACATCCTTGTAGGTGGCCAGCAGACTGGCTCGTAACTTGTCCACATCCTTGTAGGTGGCCAGCAGACAGGCTCGTAACTTGTCCACATCCTTGTAGGTGGCCAGCAGACTGGCTCGTATTTTGTCCACATCCTTGTAGGTGGCCACCAGACTGGCTCGTAACTTGTCCACATCCTTGTAGGTGGCCAGCAGACTGGCTCGTAACTTTTCCACATCATTGTAGGTGCCCACGAGACTGCCGCGGGAGAAGAGCGGATATGCTGGCGACTGGCAGATGCCCTGTTGTGAGCAGAGCTCTTAATCGGCGGAGAAGTCAACAGCGACACACTTGTGGTTCGGTATTTTAGTGTGCCCAGCAGCCTCGAGGACGTGTAACGTTTGCTAGCGCTGACATGAGATTGCTTGGGTCGTGATCAACGCAAAATTTGCCTCCGTAGAGTTCACATATGTCCAGAAGTTGTCCATGTTAAAGCCCGGCCCCAGACTACAGTTCACGTATGTCCAGAAGTTGTCCATGTTAAGGCCTGGCATCAGACTACAGTTCACATATGTCCAGAAGTTGTCCATGTTAAAGCCCGGCATCAGACTACAGTTCACGTATGTCCAGAAGTTGTCCATGTTGAGGCCAGGCACCAGACTACAGTTCACATATGTCTAGAAGTTGTCCATGTTAAAGCCCGGCACCCGACTACAGTTCACGTATGTCCAGAAGTTGTCCATGTTAAGGCCTGGCACCAGACTACAGTTTACATATGTCCAGAAGTTGTCCATGTTAAGGCCTGGCATCAGACTACAGTTCACGTATGTCCAGAAGTTGTCCATGTTAAGGCCTGGCACCAGACTACAGTTCACATATGTCCAGAAGTTGTCCATGTTAAAGCCCGGCACCCGACTACAGTTCACGTATGTCCAGAAGTTGTCCATGTTAAAGCCCGGCATCAGACTACAGTTCACGTATGTCCAGAAGTTGTCCATGTTAAGGCCCGGCATCAGACTACAGTTCACGTATGTCCAGAAGTTGTCCATGTTAAAGCCCGGCCCCAGACTACAGTTCACGTATGTCCAGAAGTTGTCCATGTTAAGGCCTGGCACCAGACTACAGTTCACGTATGTCCAGAAGTTGTCCATGTTAAGGCCTGGCCCCAGACTACAGTTCACGTATGTCCAGAAGTTGTCCATGTTAAGGCCTGGCCCCAGACTACAGTTCACGTATGTCCAGAAGTTGTCCATGTTAAGGCCTGGCCCCAGACTACAGTTCACGTATGTCCAGAAGTTGTCCATGTTAAAGCCTGGCCCCAGACTATAGTTCACATATGTCCAGAAGTTGTCCATGTTAAAGCCTGGCCCCAGACTATAGTTCCCCAAGGGGTATGGGCCCGCTGGCGGGAGAGTCATCCCCAGCTTCCCCCTGAGACTGTTGTTCGTCCCGATCTTGCGGTTAAAGATCGAACTGTGGCTCGACCACACTGGCAAATCCTTTCGTTTCTGGAAGCAAACAAGACGGAAATTGCGGCGATTGTGCAGTCTGTATGTGTGGGAGACTAACAAATTGAATGCCATCATGCAGTTAGGTTTCCAAAATCTAAAAATGTCCTTTACAAATCTGAGTCAGAAAACACTGCTGGTAGAACGGCAACGAAAACTGTAGTTGTGAACAAAGTCGAACGTCGGGGACAGGAAAACACCGCTGGTAGAACGGCAACGAAAACTGTAGTTGTGAACAAAGTCGAACGTCGGGGATAGGAAAACACCGCTGGTGCAACGGCAACGACAACTGTAGTGGTGAACGGAGTCGAACGACGGGGATGAAGGCGACTGTTGTGTAATATTGGATTGTGGTTTTTTTCCCCTGAAGCCAGACTGCTGGTGGTCGCGACAGTATAAATTAATCCTGTCCATTTTTTTTTTTTTTTTTGATGTTGTCAATCCATGTTCCTTTTTGTCTTCCTATTCTTCCCTGGGCAAACCAGTGTGCTAGGCTCCCTACGAAAACTACTTACATGAATAACATGTAAATAGTCAATTGAAATATAAGATTAACATGTAAACAGTATAGTTAGAAGATAGTATAATTAAGATACATGATAGTTATGAGTCAGTATAATTAGGATGCAATATAGACAAGTAATGGTATAGTTCAAAAACGCTGCGCTGAATGCAGTTATTCCATACAGGTAGTGTGGCTACTTCTTCTACTTTCTGTCAGAGTTGACCTGCTGTCACTTTCTGTCAGAGTTGACCTGCTGTCACTTTCTGTCAGAGTTGACATGCTCTCACTGTCTGTCAGAGTTGACCTGTTCTCACTGTCTGTCAGAGTTGACCTGCTCTCACTGTCTGCCAGAGTTGACCTGCTGTCACTTTCTGTCAGAGTTGACATGCTCTCACTGTCTGTCAGAGTTGACCTGCTCTCACTTTCTGTCAGAGCTGACCTGCTCTCACTTTCTGTCAGAGTTGACCTGCTCTCACTCTGGTGGAAAGTTCTGATTATTCGTCCTCTTCTTGACTTTTGTCTTTTTGCGAAACTTGAATTTTGCATTTGTCAGATTTGGCTGACTTGTAAGTTGTTGGTGGTGTCTCGCCTCTCAGGCAGATCTGGCTGACTTGTAAGTTGTTGGTGGTGTCTCGCCTCTCAGGCATATCTGGCTGACTTGTAAGTTGTTGGTGGTGTCTCACCTCTCAGGCAGATCTGGCTGACTTGTAAGTTGTTGGTGGTGTCTCGCCTCTCAGGCAAATCTGGCTGACTTGTAAGTTGTTGGTGGTGTCTCGCCTCTCAGGCAGATCTGGCTGACTTGTAAGTTGTTGGTGGTGTCTCGCCTCTCAGGCAGATCTGGCTGACTTGTAAGTTGTTGGTGGTGTCTCGCCTCTCAGGCAGATCTGGCTGACGTGTAAGTTGTTGGTGGTGTCTCGCCTCTCAGGCAGATCTGGCTGACTTGTAAGTTGTTGGTGGTGTCTCGCCTCTCAGG